AACTGGAGTTAAGAGTGCATTCCTTCGTGAAGCATACCGCCGATTAACTGGGGATTCTGCGGCTGCACGGAACTTGTCCGAGAAGGAAGTTGGCAGTCGGATACAAGAGGTACTGGATCACGAGGATCCTGACATCTTGTGGGACTTGAGAGTAAACAACACTGGACGACCGGAAGACTATCCACTTTTCCTGCAGAAGTGCCAGGATTATATAAAAGGCAAGGTAGAGACGGCAGTAGATGATAGACGACACGATAATGTCACTGAGAATGGGGAAAGTGTGGTTCATCTGGCTATGGCAATGAATGCTCGAGACTTGCATGAACAGGTCAAGGAACAGTGCCCTGAAGGAACACCAATACCATCCATTCAATGGCTCCGGTTGCAGTTCTGGCCAAGTAAGGCATGTGCAGCTAGCAAAAGACACACAGGACGACTGAAAGTCAAAATGGTTGTTGCAGCACGCCAGTTTAGAAAGAGTCATGTAGATGTCCACTATGCATCAGCTGTATTTAGATACCAGAAAGAATTTTGTGTGCAGTTCCAGGATATTGCAACCCTTGTGTGCGAAGATGACAAGCATACCATCAAAGTAGGGGAGCCTGGCTTTCCAGTAGCTGCTGTAGAGCGGGGCAAGCGTGTCATTGTCGGCTTGAAACAGTCTTTCGAAGTTGGTGACCATGACTTTACCAAGTTTTCATTATCTCCTTCCGTCTCACTAGTTGTAGAGATCCCGGATTCCATAGATGGAAGTTTCTATGATGGCCAAGTGTATGTTGGTCTCAAAGACAATGTCTTTGAACCTTCATCTGCTCTTCGACATGCATGTGAATTGAATACTTGCCTGAATACTTCAGATCAGGACAAACCAGTAGAATGTCACTATCACGACGGTGGATCCGATCACAACTTACGTTTTCTTAGAACGCAACTTAGTCAAGTGGCATACTTTCTGGAGCGAGATTTAGACATGCTTATACTGGTGCAGACACCTCCACAACACTCATGGAAGAATCCTACAGAGCGAGTCATGTCTAATCTCAATTTAGCTTTACAAGGTGTGGGTGTCATGAGGACAGAAACAGAAACACAGGAGGGCGCACTGAAATCTGCTAACAATTTGAAAAAAAATAGGAAAGTAGCGGAAAAAATCCAAGTGCTCAACATGAAACCTCTGACTCGCTTGAACAGCCCAAGATCCTTCTGAGTTCTCAGTTTAAGAGATGCCAACTCAAGGGGAAAGACTTCCAAGTGTTTACTGCTGCCACTAAAGAGGGCATCACAAAGACGGCTTCACAACTTCACAAGATAGACCCAGGCTTCAATTTAGATGTGCTAATAGATACGTCCAAGCCTTGCAAGATTTCAAAGAAGCTAAAAAAAATCATGGATAGTCATACTCGGAAAGGCCACTATCAATTTAGCATAAAAAAGTGCAAAGAAGAGAATTGCGCTTGCAGAATTCCCAGAACACAACCTGATTTGTTTGACAAGCTCCACCACTTACCTTATCCGATTCCACATAGAGATCATTACAAATCATTTCAGGTATGCTCAAATGAAATTGCACCACTCACTGCATCTACTACAAAAACCGAAAGATGTGTATTTTATAAACGTTGTACTTGTGTATTTTAGGAATTGTATGGAAAAGATGATGATAGCAATGAAGAGAAGCACGTACCGTCTAACCAGCTGAAAGCTGCTGCCCGTCATCGGATGCCTTTTTCACCATCCTCCCATAAGTCCAACAATGCGAAGACTGTTATTCAGGTAAATTTGGACTAATGTTAAACCTATTTGCTGTCGTTAGAGTAGAGAACCGTGTTGTGTTCTAAAATATCAGTGCAATTAACTTGTATAATCTATTTAAATTTGTTTTCTTTATCCAGTGTGATGACTGTTTGAAGTGGAGAGTGTGTTACGCAAGCCATATGCATGTACTAAAGAAGAATCAGAAACGTGAGCTGGAAAGCGCGCTGGACAACATCGCGTACTCTTGTGGATCTTGCTTTCAAGATATCAAAGACTACCAGGGTGGAATCTTTGAGCATGTTTACGTGAATGACAAGCTTACTTGTGCCTCACCTATGGAAACTCCATACTACGTCACGTTTTCAGATCCTTTATGTTACTACTGTGGAAGCGAACATGATCTGACGTCAACTCCCGAAACGTACCCAATATGTGGTGGATGTAAAGAACTGGGAAACATTGTCAAGAACAGAATTAAGCGTACCTTCGTTCCAAACGAAAAGTAGCATTTTTAATAGAGCTGTGTACTACAAATATTCATATTCGGTTTAATATTGCATGTCGTTAAATTGGTATAAATTTTTGGGAAAAAAATAAATAAAAAATAAAAAATAAAAAATAAAAGCCCGCGTCCTCCTTTTTTTTTCAAAATTCGGACGAGAAACTACTAATTTCTTTTACTTGGCCTTGGTTATGAACGAAGGAAAGTAATATAATTTAAATTTAATGAAAGGTTCCTGATAGAATCTTCAAAACATTTCAGTTGATTCAAAAATTCCTTCAATTTCCTTAGAATTTTCAAAAATTCCTTAGATTTCCTTGATTCCTTTTTTTCCTTGAAACGTCTTTTTTCGGTCAAAATTTCCTGGAAAAAGGAAATTTCTTTGAAAGTGGAAACACTGATGAAGTCACGCGCGGAATTAGGCGCTCAATACCCATGATGCTTTGCGGCCTGCTGTCCAACCTCCTCTGACTTTTTTTATTATATTATGATGACGTCATAGTGACGTCATTGACTTACATAATCCAATTACGTGAATTTATTGTCAAGTCAACATAAACAAGATTGACAACCAAAAGAAAAGTTACGATCGTATTTTCTCGCGACGACTTAGACATAAAGTTGGCTTAAAATTTGCCAATCAGGAGCAAAAATTATCGAGACATCCTATTCGCCCCCCCCCCCTTCACCCCCCCAAAAATGTTGTTACCATGATATACCAACATTGTCAATGGGGCGAGGGGGGAAATAGTAAGAAAAGATAGAATTATGTGGGTGTGGATGTGTCAAAATGAACAAAATGTTTGAAATACGTAAAGTCTCATTATTTTTGCACGTGATTCTCACATATACTATCCTGAGAGGGGGACAAGGAAAATGGACCCTTTGGCAGTTTTCCCCACCACTGAAGAATCCTTAAAAATAATAAAGCCTAATTAATCCCATCTTTATCTCAATCCTATTGTCCCAACTCCTAAGTCCAAACACTCCTAACCATTAATATTAACTGTAATCCTTGTCACGTCGTTCGAGATTGTAATATAAAAAGTCACACAAAAGTGCTGCAACCACAAGTGCTAGTAGTAGTTTCGATACCATAAAAACATTACTTATATAAAAACTACTCAAAATCTGTTGATTGTGATCTTTGTGATCAATTCAAAGTTCAAATTGAAAATTAAATGAGCATTCATTATGTCAGATCATTATTAAACTTGGTTAAACAACTTCGAGGGAACAACTTTTCTTCTCTTATTTCTGTGTGAATCCCTCCGGATCATTCCAAAATTCACAATACTTTTGACGTATATTTTTACCAATCGCCACTTCATAAAGATGTTTGAACTCTATATAACTTTCTGAATTCTTGGTAAACTGTGGCCAACAAGTCAAATTTTGAAACTCTTTCTTGTTGTATTCAATTCTTTCTACACCAACGTTTGGATCACTATAGGTACAAATAATGTGAACTATATAATAACTATTACTGTTTCACATACATAATTTAAAGAACCCAAATTACTAATAAGAAATGCACTGCACGATGCTGTCGATACTCAGGATACGGACAGATTATTAGAAAGTCATGTAAAATATCAAAGGTGTACAAATTTGAGGTTTATTAGCATGGGTAATAGCATGGTTTCGAGTGCAATTTGGATATAACATGCACGAGTGAGTTTTTCAAAGATTGCTTTCAAAGACCTCAATGTTTATCGACCTCACGTCTATCCAAATTTCACGAGACACCTTGCACTAATACTACGATAGGGCCAGTAACTATTACTTTCGAGGTGCTTCCGCGGCCTCTGGTCTCTGTAGAAACTACAGGAACCTGTTCTGACATATTATTAATAATAACACAATAGATTTGTTCCAATGCACTATCCAGTTCGAGTTTTCAGGTCAGTGACCATCACTGATGCCACCAAAATCTACCTACACTCAATATGCCAGATTCATAATTGCTTAAATGCTGTGCTGAGTGGTTATATTACTACCTCTGCTTATTATTAGTTTTAGTATGACTATCTTATTTGCTTACCCATTCTTTGCAAAGTTCGTCCAGTAAGCAATCATACGAGATGATAAGATTCTATCTTCATCTGGAAAAAGTCTGTTTTTAATTGGATATCCAAATGTTGCCTGAAAATGGAAATACGTTTTAATTCCCTGCATTCAAGCGAAAAAAGAATATGCAATTCATTTTTCCTGCTTAAATTCCTTGAAATAATGCAGCAAAAAATAATTATTGGACATTCAGTGGATAGATGCTTTTACTAAAGAAATCTCGCTCCCCCTTGACGAGTAAAATCGTTTTGTGTGGTTGCGTTAAACGGAGTAAAATAATAGAGTAGGACGCATTAAGGCGCGATGCATCTTAAACTATCTTAATGGGATAACAGGACACATGACCAGATAGTCGAATTAAGCAATTGAGCGCCAGGACTCTCCCCTTGACGAGTAAAATCGTTTGGCGTTAGACAGAGTAAACTGATAAAGTAGGGCGCATCAGGGCGCAAAATGCAACTTAATGGGATAAATAATAAGGAATCCTAGATGGTCAAATATTATGCGTTCACAGGTAAAAATAGCAAAATATTACTAACCATAAAAAGAACTGTACCTACTCACAGGAAACTGTCGGCTGAACACAAGTAGAACTGATTTATTCATCCAAGTTCATTATAAAGTTGTACCTTAAGGTCAGTTGTTTTTTTTGTTTTTGTTTTGTGTGATGATTACATAACAAATCCCCATCCAAATGGATCTGATATTAATTAAATTTGTATTTTAAAAATACACCCTTGGCCACAGGTTGGGAATTCGCACCCCCATCCTTCCTGTACCTCTGGATAAGTGAATCTGGTCAGATTGACTCCTATTGTATACTCACCACGAGGTCAGCTGCATGAGCTGCAAATCCAAATGAACCTTGAGGATAGTAAAGCAAGAGATCCAGTGGAGGAGCATATGAAAATCTGTACAAATAAGTTCTACCAACTGATCTGGTAGACCAGCTTCTAGCGAGTTTTGCTGTTTCACAGCTCCAATATTTGTCTGTTTGAAATTCAATGGTTGGTCTCAAGGCTTCGATAAAATTAGGTGTGCATTCGGGCAAATACAAGTCCATTGCTGTTTTTAGTGCATTCTTGGAGAAACCTTTTGAATAAAATATAAATCCATTAAGCCATTAGAATTATTCTGATTATTCTGATTTACTGTCTAACACTTATCATAGTAGGCCTACTTATATTAGGAATATACTTTTGGTTAATTTTACAACGTAGCTTAAAATGTTTTATTGCTATATTTGTATCTCCAGAGTAAATAATTTGTTTCTGGCGTTGAGCCCGCAATCTATAAAACCATTATGGGACCCTGGGGATTTTCCTAATCTTTAACAGCTTTTAACATAAACATTTACCACAATATTTTTAACAAACCTTGTAAGGTAGACTGAAGTGAGTTTTTAAAATGATTGACATAATAACTTGTACTTTGATTATGATGCAAATGACCAAAGTTCCAGAGGAATGCTTCGTGCTGACATACACCAAGCATTATATCAAGTTTCTTGTGCTTCCCTTGTTCAAGCAGCTTAGCTGGAATATCTGGATAGAAGTCTTCATCAACAACGGGTAGCAAAAAGTCAGTTGTCATGGAGTATTTGGAAGTATGATAATGTTCCAAGACTTGATAGGTGGTAAGGTTTTGAAGGCATTCT